ATGAAAGAAGCCCAAAGTGATTCTACATCCCGTCTCAAGTATCGTCTTGTAGCGAGAGGCCTCCAACAAAAAGAAGGTAAAGACTACATTCATATCTTCACAACTGTTGTGAAGTGGTCTACAGTAAAATCTTTGTCCACCATTGCCGATGCATGCAAATGGACAATTTATCACCTAGATGTCAGAAGTGTTTTCTTAATTGTCTTATTTCAAAAACCGTCTATGTAAATTGATTTTATGAATTTATTAGTAAAGGTTTTGAGTATTTTGTATGTAAACTTAATAAAACGCTTTACGGTTTAAAACAAGCTCCAAAGGTACGAATGTATCGACTTATACTTAAGACGAGACACATTGTCATTCAAATCCTAATTTTTATGTTTTAAGGGAGTATTGTCTCATAATAATCATGATGCTCTATGTAGACGACATGTACATAACATGAAGCAATTAATTGAAAATCTTTAAGATTAAGTCAGATATAATGCATCAATATGAAATGAATGATTTAGGTGAAATTATAATTATTTTAGTAGATGAATTCTCTCCGTCACCACAAGGATTATTACTTCATAAGAAGTCCTATATCACCAAACGTTTAAAAGAGTTTAATATGTTTGACTGTAAGCAATCTACATTATCAATCAATGATGAAAAATACTTTACAAAAGATACCAACACTCCCTACATAAATCCTACATTTACAAAAGATTAGTTGGCCAATTGTTGTTTGCTTCTAACTATAGAGTTGATATTTGTTTTGCTGTGGAACAACTTTCATGAGTTTATGTCAGCACCTGAAGAATCTCATCTGGAAATTGATTTCCAAACTTTGAAGTATTTGAAGGCTACTTTAGATCACAAAATATTATTCAAACAAGGATATCCACTACAATTGCAGAGATACACATATGTCTTGTGAAACTCTTGCCAAGACAGATTCAAATCTACTAGTGATAACATTTTTACACTCATTGGAGAGGCAATGTTTTGATGTTTCAAGAAGTGAAATCTCATCTCACTCTTCTCTACAAAGAGTGAATATTAAGTATTGTCCTTTGATGCATAAGAAGCTATTTGGTTACAAAAACTGTTGCATGAAATCAACCTTGTTACAATCACAATGATACCAACGTCTCTTTCTTGCAAAGACGTTAAGATCACTTCTTCTCTTCATACTCCCAATTCAATGATTGACTTCATAATAGTTCACTGTGACAACAAGAGTGCGATAAAACTTGCCAAAAATCTAGTTTTTCATGCAAGAAGAAAACACATTGGTATACAACATCATTTCATCACGGGACGTATAGCTTTGAAGAAGATCAAAGTTTGATTCCTCTCCACAAAATTACAGCTAGCAGATTTGTTGACCAAGGTTCTTCCTAGACTAAAGTTTAATCAACATAGTTATTATTTTGGTCTACAAAGTCTGGCAGCGTCATTTGAAGAATCTTTTTTAACTAAAGTAGATGATGAAGATTCAGAAGTAGAGAAGTGGTTTTTAGATCCTACTTTATTCACTCTAGAAAAAGAAAGGATGTTAATATAAGTTAGATCCTAAAGATACTCTTAGAGTGCTAATATTACAAAAGACTTGATAACTTTATATAGCTTCATAGCTTATCAATTATCCATGAGACTATTGTTATGGATGAACTTTGTAGACTACAATGTATACGACACATACTCGTGAAATTTGCATCTAAATCAAGTTTAGTATACTCTACTGTAAGTTTTTAGCCATATAAGTCATCATCTCGTCTCAGTTTGCAATTTTTGAACAAAATTTCAAGTATCAAAAGTCTTGAGGTTTATTATTTGTAAACGTCAAACATAATCAATTGGCGGTAATTTTTAGCTTGTTCGTGGGCGATTGCGGATCGATCATGCTGTAAAACGCGACGAAGAATAAAGAGAGCATCCTTAGTCTGATTAATCAGCTCTAATGAAAGAATAACATCTTAGCTCACTCATTTTACCCTCAAGCTTGATAACATTCATCACTTTTTGTAAAAAATCATATAACGTTGATTCATATCAGGCACGTTGATACTCATTGGATTCAAAAATCGGATCCAAAACAACAATTTTCTATGACAATTTTTTGTTAGTTAGAACTAAAGAAGAGATTATTCAAGATCAACTTATAGTTAATTTATAATGCACGAGTTATAATTTCCACATCATCAATCCATGTGCTAGTTTGTGTGTTAGTTGAAAGTGTTACGTCAGTGATCCATGTGCTTGTTAAATAAGGATTGAATGTGTTAGTTAAGAGTGTTATGTGAACTATCGTGTGCTTGTTGAAATTATCCGCCATATCATTGATCCACTACAGGTGGAATGAAAGGTGGAAATGAGATCTCATCTCTTCTCCTTGTTGGTATTATCTATATAAAGATGAAGAGAACCATTGTTAGTCTTTAAATATTCAAAGTTTATGTTTTCATCTTCAAATGAACGCCTTTTTAAATCTTAGTGTCACACATTCATTACGTTTTTTATTTTCTCAAGCAAATTTTCCTCATAAATCTGTAAATCTTTGTTGTAATCATTCAACCACTTTTCAATCTTGCTCCTAACATCAATTTCATTGAACCCATCAAGAAGGTTTTCTCAAGCAAATTTTCTTGATAAATCTACAAATCTTTGTTGTCATCATTCAAACACTTTGCAATCTTGCTCCTAGCATTAGTTTTATTGGATCCATTAAGAAGATTATAGTTGCTTAACATTTCAACACTCTCACAATAGTGACATCATTATTGCAGCGGATATTATCGGCGCTGTCAAATCTAGGAATAATATATGCTTTGGAAAGTAGTTTTTAAGTCTATTAGTAGAAATGTCATTCCAAATAGAATTTGCAAAGTTTGCAACATCAAGCAAATATGAAGATTTTCTATAAGCAATCCAGCGGTGATTTGTTTGAGTTTCAAAACTCTTCATGCAATTTGGTCTTTAAGTAATTCTAGATTATCTTAACATGCAACGATACACTTGTGTCAAAAAAACTTGTATTGTTTTTTTTCTCCAATGATTGCCATACCCATCAGTTATTTTCAAGAGATAACATTAAGTAGAAAGAAGTCAACACAAATGTCATTGTGCTCAAAAGCACTAGCATGATCAAGACCGTTTATGAGAAGCAACAACATTTTGTGTCTGTCGGCATACATAAGGCTCAAATACCTCCTTAAATCACTTTTTAAATCTTGGAACATCGATCCAAACATTCTTTTGATGAAAATAAGAAATGGACAAAGTGTTTTTAACAATGCGTGCAAACTGTTTAACTTTTTCAATCATTGTGATCAAAATTCATTTTGTTTCACTGGCGTTGCAACTAACCACAAGTGTCATCTTGTTTTTTGTCCACTGTTTGCCTCGTACAATGATCAAATCTTCATGAGACATTAGCACAATATATCGTGAAACGATTCAAAATAACGATCCAATTTTGTTTATGTTATAAATGCATTCAAGATCATATTTGCCAGTGAGGAGAGACAAGTCTTCCAAAGCTTTCAACATCTCTGGATTGTTTTTGTCTACCATCTTCTCCAAACACTTTTACGCCAATTAAATCGTGTCAATGTCAAAATCTTGCAATCCAACCTCAATGATATCTTAAATTTATCATCAGCAATCTCCATTGCGGTTGCATTTTGGTTTGCTTTGTGGCAAATAATTTTGGGAGTCAAAACAAACAAAACTTGGGGTATTTCATCAATTCATTCAAGAAGATTCTTCTCAACATCAAAATACATAGGTTGAGAAACACGGAATGTTAACTCTTTAGTGGCTTGATTGAACCTCTTTGTCCTTTCACTAATTTCATATTTGTTAGATTTTATTTTAGCGTAATTTTTTCATCAACAACAAATTGTCGAACAATGCTACAGATAGAAAGCTTTGACATTTCTAATAAATTGATGATTTTAATACTATGATGACGCTCAATCAAAGCTGATCTTGACCCTTACTCTTAAAAGTTAGTTGCGCTATGATTGTATAAAATGAACTAACCAAAATCTACTTTAAGTATTAGATATTCTTTGTTATACGGAGAATAATCACACCAACCAAAGTCAGATCAAAATGCTCGCTGAAGCGAGTGTATTTAGCACAAAATACAAATGACCATAAATAAACCTGCTGATAATGTAAAGACATGACAGGAAAACAATACGGACGTTGACTAAACTTTTACGCATACGTTCACCTACCATAATTAGAAGGTAAATTGGAGTAGGTTAGGTTAATTGTATTAAATGCGCCTAAGTAGGGAGCAAATAGAGCATATGCTCTCTGAATCTCCAAGAAATGGATTACAATGCATTGATCCTGCTACTCTTAACACGATTTTTGTTTTTAACTTAATGCATCATTGGACTTTAGATAGTACAAAACGTACAGCGGGGGCCAATGGATATGAAAATGGACTCTATAATGACTCGTACAATATGCGGCCGGCGTTCTGTAAACTGCCACTCTGCACGCGTTCCGTTTTATATAAAATCTTCCAACAACGTCTTTCGCCATCTATTGGACAAAAGTTTGACCAAAGGATAGCACAAGTATTACATTTCTAAGATATTCCGTCCAAGACCAAAAGGAAGATGCAATCATGACGATTTAGACCTGAAGGAAACGGGAAAGATCTGTTCATGTGAGAGATCCAGTAGCCAACAATTATTCATACCTTGTACCGTAAAAGGTTATTGGTAAGCACATGTTTAGTTAACAGACTGCTGTTAATATGCCACATAGTCAGTCTACCACAGTGCTTTGGAAGACTATTCTCATGTGAAGGAATGAATGAGAAGGGAATATGTGTTACATGATCATTCAAAGATTTAGGACTACCAAATTGATACTGCATTAGCTCTAACTTAATAATACAGCAATGAATACATCAAAAAGTCGTAACAAGAATTGTTTAATCGGTTTAGTAATTTTCGAAAAACTGTGATTACATCACTTTAGAAATGTACAGGAAATGAGTACAACCTGCTCTCCGCCTGGAGTCTTTTATTACCATTAATATCACGAACCTTCTTCACCCTCTCGACCACGATATAAAGTACGACAAATTATTTATTAACATTCATACTATTCGCATCACCGCCAGGTGAGCGAGGTGTATGACGATACACCTCGATAGGACTGTTAAGTACAACTGATTGCACATTATAAGAATAATTACAAACGGTTTAGCTGCAAGGCTCAACGTAGCACTCTCGTTGGGTATACTTGTAAACGATGTCATAGAATCCCTCAACCCGCAATGTCTTTTCCAGAAAACTAGAATTACATTACATCATAAATTTGAAGTACCTTCAATGAGCTTATCTACAAATATTTGAGTGTTTGTAAGCTAATAACATCCACCACGATTCTGAAAAAGAAAAGCGGTTGACAGATAGTCATGTACAACGATATTGCCAGGAGTTTCAAGGGTTTCCGTACACTACAGTCACGGGAAGAAACGATCATAATCGTGTTCTTTCCGTCACGATTTTCTCCACAGCTTGAACGAAGCTCAGCACATCGTGTCTAGCATACTCAGGCATTTGATTTGCAAGTTCCTGTAAGCAGAGAACCCCAGGTATATCAGTTCTTCGTAGAAATAGTCATGCGAAGATTGTGTTTCAGAATATTGTAACATCTAGTGCGTTGTATAACTAAGCAACTATGAATATAAACACAGAGTTGCACATCAATCGTCCAAAATCCATACATGAAAGCTCGCAATCAGTTACCATACATAACTGATGATTTCTTCCTCTTTCTGTCTGTCTTCAATTGTTCTAGTACGAAAAGAAAAGGGAATAAGGCATTGTCTAATATTATATCTACGTGATAGGTGTAGAATAAATAACACCAACCATTGCTTCTTCAAGAAGCTCTTCAGATGCAGGGCTTTCTTCTTTTACGGCGTACAAAGATCGCAATCGAAGAGAGAAACCATGCATGGGCCAGCCTTGAGGAACCTCTATCAAAAAATTCAATTTACCGGGAATGGTGACAGTGATAACGGAAGTATCTGGTAAATACTCCACACAATATCTGCAGACGACAAGTGTCAAATAATCTTCAATGACAATAGCGTTGAGGCAAAAAGATCCGAAGATAGAAAGGTCTTTGTTGATTGTTAGTTAATCGCAGTAGAAGTTCCGATCAAGAGACGACATGTCAAGGCAATGACTTACATATAGCCAGATTTGCTACTTATGGTATAACATCAATTTGCTGAAAAACTTTGCTGACTACCTTTTCTTGGAAGTGGAATGTACCTAGGATCATTAGAAGCAGAAGAGAGAGAGGCGGATTTCAGAGCGAATACGCTGATTCGGTGATGAACGGCTGTCACTAGATACGCAAACTGACGTCCAAACTCTGCATTTTCGCCCTCCTTGGTGGACTCCGAAGATACGTTTAAATCTTGACTGTAGATAAAGATAAACCATATTTGTTAAGTTCATTGTCTAAACTCTGCATTTTCGCCCTCCTTGGTGGACTCCGAAGATACGTTTAAATCTTGACTGTAGATAAAGATAAACCATATTTGTTAAGTTCATTGTCTGACATATATCAGCGACTTTACAATTGCTAACATAATCTGACATGTCACTCCGAATCGGTGTTCAGTACCTTTGCTGCGTAGAAGAGACGAGATCATCAATCGGCACATCTGCAGGAAATAGCTGCCGAATGCAATGATATGTATCAGCTGAAAGTTGAAAAGCGACAGGACGATATCCGAAGTATTAAAATTTGTGGACTGTATCTCCACAAATCTTCTTTAGCATGACCTAAGAAAACTTGATAAGAAAATCTGTCCACTTTCCACTTCCCTAATCTGAGAAAAGCTATAGATTCAGAAAAGTTTTAAAGTGCAAAACTCAAACCCTAAGAAAAATCGCATGTAGACTCCCTGCGGTTGCTACTTTGCAGGAGTAACATTCACATTATGAAAGTGGGGAAGGCAAGGAAGAAAGACATACTTCTGCTGTTTCGACCCCCATTGATTTTGAATTGACCTTTATGTAAAGTTTATGTTTCAGCTCCTGTTTGACTCCTTGTCCACTTGCAGCCTCACAAGGATCATCCATTGTAGGTACATCGGTAGTGAGTTGGAGCTCAACAAAGTCGTCTCCAACAGCAATCACTGCAACGTCATTTATTGACTCCAGCAAAGTTTGCGATCTAAGGCATCTGCACATTTCTTTGGGTATGAAATACGAGTCCTCTAACTCTAACTTAAGATTTTATAAATGCAACATGGTTTCAATCATATGTAAGTACTTTCTGTAGATAGAGAAGAATACTTTGTGTGCATGTCATTCGTAAATATACAAGCATACGAAACGATCTCTGCTAAACATTGATAAAACCTTTCGGTGGTTGGTTTAATCATACCTGCCACTGACATCAACAATCATCCGCAAGGATTCTTCTTCTTTGTCCAGCTGTCTAGCTTGTGCTTGTAACTCTTCCATCTAAGATCGATGATGTACCAATGCATTCACAAATTAGATCTTTAAACACGGCACGTCATATATAGATGTTGAGATTTGCACTTAACAAGAATAAATGGATGAGACAATGGAAAGATTTAGAATACTTTTAACACTGACATACCTCAAGGTTGTACTGTTCAATCCTTTGTTTCATTGCTGCTTCAGTATCCTCGTATTCCCTTTCATTTTGCCTTAGTTGTTCCTCCTGAACGCCGGAAGAACCACCAGATTTAAATTCTCTTTATTCCCTTCTTAGTATTCACATCACTTACTATAAATTTGATAAAGTAAGTACCCTAAGAACTCACCAGAAGTCTAATCGTTTCCTCAAGGTCTTGGGGAGTTTCCGCCAGCTTTATCATATTTATACCATCCTCGTGGATGTCCTGTATAGAGATTTCGAATAAAAACTTTATTCATTTACTTCCATGCTTGAACATGACAACAATGAGACAACAACTATTCCAACATGGCAACAATACTTTTATTTTGCAGCAGGATGGTTTTATTTGCGACACCCCAATTTAAAACTAGTTTAAAAGAACGGAAAGCATCCTACTTGTGGCCTCGTAAGCAAGATGAAGTAGTTTCATGAAGACACTAGTCCCTTTGGAAAATACTTACACGTCTCTTTCCCACTTGTGCCATCTTATCCAACTGTTCACAAACGAAAAATCGAAAAAAAAAATTTGTTCAGTCCAGTATCACTCTTAAATTATAGAAACAGAACTTCGTTAAATCAAAGATCTAAGAATGTTTAACAATCTACAATGTGCAGAATCTGATGGTAGATTGCAAAATCAACTAGTAGCTTTATTTCATTCGGAGGATATACAGATAACCTCAACATATTGTTGAAAACTGATCATTTCTATCAATGCCGTGATAGTGGAGGTGTTTGCTACTTTCTTCAACCAAGAAGATGATATGAACTGACAATTTAGGGGCTCATTTGTAGAAGTTCATGCACTTCCACAGACCCATTAATACTAAGTTCGATTGGACTTTCTTTCTCGTTTTATTTACTCTCTGAGACGATTTAACATTGTCTAATGAGAGGTGGACTCACCTCCAGATCACAATTCTCAAGGCTGTGGGTAGCCAGACTTAAGTTATTCTCAAAAGAATTCATATCTGCAGAAAACAGGTCAAATGATGAAGCAATCGATGTCAAGGTGTTAAATTGCATTGTGAAAGAATGACAAGTGCAATGGATATAATTAAAAGCAGTTGAATGTGACTACACACTGACCATCGGCAACTGTGTGTATTAGAGTCTCAATTTCGTCAATTGTATCCGCATTTGACTGTTTAAGGCTCATCAGCTCTGCCCGCAAGCTTTGTATTTCTGGCACTGCAAAAGAATCAGGAAACATTCTGTATTAATGGTGAGGATTTACGGGGTAATCAATTCAGGCTGATATATCTCTTAATCGGAAATCATCAGCAAAGATTGACCACGATTATGTTTTATATACGGAGCATTCATGACAAACACTTGCCACTTCCCGAATGGATTGCAGGATAATCCAAACTTTACCATCATCAGATAGCCATCTTTCATTTTCTTTCTTCTCATCGTCAAACTTGGTAAGAAGTTCGAGAAGCCCTTGTTTTTCTGTCACCTCCAGGTATTCATGTTTCAAGGAGGAGAATAAATTCTGAACAACGTTGAGAAAGACATTCTCTCAGTGCAATACAATAGCTGGTGATAAAGTGCCAAAGGAAATTCAGAACACAAAAAGGTCGAAGGTATTGTCCAAACAGCAGAATACTTTCAGTCATACATCTTCGTTATAGAAAACTATCATACCTCTAACTCCTTCTCACTACCATCTGGAATTTCAGCTTCATTTATCTGCTGCTTGTAGGAGTGAGGCAGCATAGCGACACCGTCTAATCCAGCCAAGTTCCTGATCAGGGATATCATTATCAAACTCCGAACAAGATTCATACATAAAAAATGCTGTGTGCTCTCAAAGTGACTATCAAATCTATCAATCTGTATTTTCAGCATGTTGAAAGATGTGCAAAGATGAAGATGTACGCAATCCACCGCCGCCCGCTCTACATACCAGATCTTCTGGGAAGCTTTCCTGGTATTGGCACGTAATAAATTTTCTAGGTTCAACATGCATGATATCTTAGTTGCATAAGGACATATAATTCAAATTATACATACTTTCGTATGCGTTGGGCTTCTCTCCGAAGAGCTCCCCGAAGCTCTTCAATTGCTGGATCTTGTCCCATGCCTTCCAAAGTAACGTCAGGGCTCGATGCAGATATATCCAAAGCATCATCGTTTTTTGATATTTGGACCACAGGTAGGGGCATCGTCGGTAAAGTAAGTGTTACATCGGCGAAGTCCAAATGCTTTTTGAGTCCAGAAGCAGTACATTCCATGTCCTCTTCCATCTTGGAATTACCGCTCAAAAGAATCTCAAACCGTACACCTCACAATAAAAAACTTGCACAGAGGTTCCACGGCATTTGTGTCGCTTCCTCTGTTCTTGGGGAGAGATCACAGTAAAATGGTGCGCTGAAAGTCGAAAGAGAAAAAGTCAGCGGTCCATAACAAGCTGAGAAAGAAGTAAAGACTGCTCCTGCAAAACGGACACTCTACTATTTCAATCGTAGAGTCGAGCATTAGAACTAGAAAGAAGAGATTCATTGTAATTCAAATTGAACAACAATGAATTTGACAAATAAGCACCAGCTTTTCTCTCTCATCTCTCTGTTGCCTTAGTTGTTAGGCACAATCTCGGAACTTTGCATACTTTTGAAACACTTGTCTATGTTCTCGGTGACAGTTTGAACAAGGACCATTCTGATTGTGACAGAAACATCTCATTATATCGTAATATCAGCTAATAATGGATTTTACATGACTTTTTATCTAGCCACCTTTCAAGAGTGCCAGTTATAACAGCACTAGAGGCAACTTCCTTCCAAGAAGCACACTCGCATCAGATTTATGATTCTATTTCACGATACTTTCTAACCCAGAAAGGCGCTTAAGTTAAAGATAGTAAAATGCAGTGATGCACATTCCACTCAAGCTGATATGAAAGGTCCTATGTCAGACCGCAAAGGTGGAACATTTTCGCTCTTTTCGATGGCATAGGGAATAATGAACTCCGTGCATTGCTTTCAAACTCTCAATTTCTTGCTCTCGTTCGTCCTCCTCGAAACTAAAAACTCAGATCCTGACAGAAAATTGATATAGAGTCTAAACATACGAATCTGCAAAAAATGACGCGAACGGTACAGAAGGAGAGAGGTTTCACCATTCTGTTACGAGCAAAGGAGCGATACTCGACCAGCACCCGACGAAGAGTTTGAGGCGGGAAATCGCCCCCTAACACGATTTCAAACGGCCAATTCGCCACAAACGAGGGTGGCAACATACAAATTTTACAACACGGGAAAAAGCATCGATGGCGAAAGCAGCACCGGGAGCCAGAATCGGAGTACCACTGAATGTCGATGAATTCTTCCTTCCGTCGCAAGGTTTGAATCAAAGACGAAGCCAAACGATTCAGATCGCGCGTCGCTGACAGGTGTCGACGCTTCTGCAACTTCAATCGTCCACGCAAGCTTGATGCTGGACCCGGGTAGCCACATCAGCCTCATCCAGGGGGTTTTTCCCCTGTTGCGTACACAATTTTGTTCAACGTTGCATAATTAGGCCGCCGTGATCGATAGCAGGAAGGCGGGTGAGAAAGGTCGAACCGCTGGCCCTGTGGTTCGTAGATGCAGGATCCTCCACGTCGGCAAGGTGCAAGAGCCACATCAGCAAACCGCAACACCGTTGGACAGACCATCAACAATAAAACTGCAAAGCACCCGCAGTACTCCTGAAGAAGATCAGGTACTTTGTTGGTGACAGAAGACAAGAACGTACTCGTCTTCGAGTTTTTCTCTCTACAGATTAAGATTCCTTGTGCTCACTCTAAAACAATAGCAAAACGAAGCTAAGAACCTTGTTGCAAAATTGACTTCATTGAAATAGAAGTGTTCCCAAGTCATGTAGTCTTCAAGAAGCACATCAAGTTGACACATAAGATATTTAATTTCTCATATAGACTCTTGAACACATTTGCATACTTGATATGAAGGTGAATTATTTTGTTTGATTCACCAATACTGGAAAAAATTGTAAAATTTAGCTTCCACGTAACCAATCAGATTCACCTCATGTTCACCTCCAAGTAAAAAAACTTGTTGAATTATGAGCAACAACTAAAGTCAGAGTTCTGTAGTTAGCATTCTCCACAATTCAAACTTTAGCCATAGTGTTTACTCCAGCGTTAATTCGTAACAAACCACCCGATGACACTATCATTGTAGGTATGTGTTCTTTATGGTTGGTATGCCAAGTTCGTGGCTTAAACTTGTGCCTGAATTCCTAGACTCAAACAAAATCTTAAGGCAGCATATGTCTTCTAAACCCTTCTTACGGTTCAAAATAAGTTAGTAGCTGTTTATAAAAGAAGTAAGTAATTAACAGTTACTATTTAAAATTCCTAATATCTTGCAAAATAAATAGATGAACTGACCGTGAGATTAGCAATATAATCATATATCATCAATATTTTAAATGAAATCAAGACCCATCTTACATATCAAGCAAGTTACAAATATATTTTATACATAGGCTTATATCTATTATGGGTTATGTTATATGATGATGAGTGATTGTCTTCAATAGGAGAAAAAGTTCAGTAACATTCTCCTAGTTCTGCAGGAGCCGAATAACCCTTTGGTTCATACATAGACTCAGATGAGAGATGCATTTTTTCAGGAAACTGCCTCGTTCTTTAGTTGGATTTGAAACGTTCCAGGTGATTCAAAACTTCTCCATGGATTCAGCAAACATAAGTCTTCACCTAGAGCTAGCTATCACCTTCACATATGCCGAAAGAGTCTGATCCTGTAGATTTGTTGCTTCTACGAAGCAAAGCAATGTGTACAAGTAACCTTGTGTGAAAACCTTCATCACTCAAGTACATATGATCATGGCTGAGGGAAAATAGTCCTGCAGGATTTGGAAGAAAAAAGGGCTTGGCCTGATTACACCGGCAAGGACGTCAAACAAGCTTTCGATGCAATTAAAAAGTCCGGTGTTGTAAAGAATGTGTCTATCCAGAAGCCTGACTCAAAAGATGACCAAACTCTGCACAAAGGAAAGTCGAAGAAGTGTGGATATATCAGCACAGCCCATGGCATGTTATGGGAATTCCTCAAAGACTGGCATTCTAATCGTTAGTAATTGTCGTGGCTCATCTAACTTTGTGCTTTGATTTCTCTTCTCCTTCTCCGGAACATCAGAGCTTCATGTTCATTTGTACATCACATTCCTTCCTTTCATGACTTCGATATTCGGTGTATCACCTTCTTAAACATGACTATTCTTGCAAGGATTAGCCCACGATTGGTAGATCTTAGGAGAGTCAATTACGAGGGGGCAATGAAGACACTTTTGAATGAGGAGACTGGAGTCCAAGACGATTTTGGCCAAAAAAAATACCATTCTTACTAATGACTAGGTTTTGACTCACATTTTTCTCGAAAGTAGCAGATATGGGAAGGGAGCAGAGGTTCTTTCCCTTGGATTTGTCTAACAATGTGACTTTGTAAGTAATACGGTCTTCGCTTTCAGCTCGGAACTGCCTTCAACGAGAGAACCAAAGAGTTGCAGATGAGATGTACACATTTCTTAGATGACCAGGAAGATGGTGGAAGTTAACATAATAAAGATAATCAGGAATGAAGCACTTTCGTAGGGAAGGTCTGCTTCAGTCATATCAACAACTTAGAGTATCACTACTTTACAACATATGCTTGCTTCAATTGTCAAATGACCATCACTGAAATCTGCTGACAGTATCGCTCTTCATGTGAGCGACAATCAGGTCAATAACTCATGTTCCTTTGACGATCCTTGTAATAATATAGGAACATTCTCCTGTACCACGTTCATAATTCTCTGGCAGGTGCATGTCAGTTACTCATGTCAGCAGACGTTATTCACCAAAGCTGTTCCTTTATATGCGTGCTGCGGTTTCATCTCACCTGTCTGGTGCATTCCCGCATATGCTTAGCAAAACTGATCTGAGAAACAGAACTAGGCAGCAGCAGACACCAAAGCTGCAGTATATTTCTACAGTATTTTTGAAAGCGACACGTGAATTAAAAAATACTTCTCCTCCAGATTCAAGCGATAACCAATAAGTAGTGTATATTCTGAAGCATCACTCGTAGCAACATTAGCTTGGAAAGATCACTTCATACTCAGTCTTTGAATAAACCCAGAGACTGCAGCAGAATACAGTATACACTATTTCACGGATGATGACACGAGGACCCAACTGGCAACCCATATGCCTGATGAAATCTCCAACAGTCTGACGTGGTCTTTCTAAACAAAACTGTAGCACCGAAGTGTATTACGCAGATTAATTCAGAAACTGTACAGAATCCAGGATCGAAACAGGTGAGGTAAGAGTTTCCTCAGAAGACCGCCCTTGACCCATTTGTCTGGTTTTCATTCGGATGTGCTGGCAAGCGCAGCAATTTCGAATCCATATACGCAGATTAATTCAGAAACTGTACAGAATCCAGGATCGAAACAGGTGAGGTAAGAGTTTCCTCAGAAGACCGCCCTTGACCCATTTGTCTGGTTTTCATTCGAAACTCCACAATTCAAACTACCGCCAGAGGACACCTAACTCGAAGCTGACTAGAGCAAGCCGACTGCGTCTCCCATCTCCATGTGGACGAGATCATGAGCTAACTCGGAGCTCTTTAGGATGACAGACTTGACTGAATGCGAAGAATACAATCGAAAATTGACACAGTTGCTACATTAGCAGACAATTTCATATCATCAAAGATGTGACAAAGTTTACTTGATGCGTGTGGAAGACATGAGCTCGATCGAGAGTGCTGAAAGAGTTCGATGTCAGGATTGAGTGCCGGATGTACTTACCACGCTCGTTGAAGTCTTTGTACTTTGTGGCCATGGACGACTGGGCGCTCATGATGAACACGAAGTGTAGCCCCAAGAGAATTTGAGAAACTCCTAACAAACTGCCAGCAGATCAAACAGAGGTCCAGCATGATTAATAACAAGAAGGAAATACAGCACATTTGAGCGGGCAAGAATTCAAACATATTCGATTGAAATGTCTGTAAGACTCCAAATCTTGCTGAACTTACGATAGAGCGAGTCTCCCACTGCGAGCCATCGTCGACCGAAGACAGACACTTTTCCAACTCTTTCACCTCAGAGGAATCAGCAGTACGACAATGCAGATTCGGAAGTCAGTTATAAAACAGTTGAATGCCACACTCAATCCAAAGACCGGGCCCTCTGTAGTTTATAGCTGACGAAGTTGCCTCGACTCATTGGAATCGATGGGAGAATCAATCGAGATGCTCTCGAGGTTCCGATTTCAGAGCACTAAGCCAACGTTGTCGGACACGATCCCTGACAGTACCTCGTACATGTACGTTCAAGCTCGGACTCGGTCTTCCCCGAAGTGGATAGGGTGCAGATATCACTTGACGTGCTAAAGAATTTCAACGCCCCAGCCCACCCGTAGGAGCTCAAAGGGAAAAGCTGTCTTGTGTTGCGGTTATATCTCGGCTCAATCAGAAGATCGCAATATGTTGTGAGAAAGTAAAGCTGACCGAGACGTCGATCGAGAGAGAAGACAGGTTCGAATGTGTTCAAACTGCCACGAATTCCTTTCAATTTTCCGCATCAGTTGTGGGCCGTCTTCTTCCGCGATGACTCGTGATTTGGTGCTTGAACTCTTTTCACACTCGCAATCAGTGAATGGGAATGGGTCAACGCACATTCCCGTTGACTTGAGATCAATATGACGAGATCTTACTGATGACAAGGATGAGAAACATCCCCATCAAGTACCGTGACAACGCACAGCGGTTAACTTTCGAGGCAACATGGTACAGACCATTTTTGAACCACTTTCTCGTTTTACATCCAACACGTAAACAGTTGTCATCTTATAACGGCGTATCGTCGATGTCGAGGTGGATGCTCTTGCCAGCCTCATGGAAATTTCTCTCTGTCCTTCAGTGGACGCACACGTGACAACGTTCGATTGGACGACATAACTGTCGATTAGACCAATTCCCACATGTGGGTTACTGTTTTGGATGTATGAAAACTGGAATCAGAGTTGAAAGTCTCCTTTATCTGTCTCGATTTAGTATGGAATTTACGAATTGGTCAACCGACAAACTGGCGAAATTTGAATGTTACACAAATTGATTGATCACATGTTTTCTGAACATACTACCGTGGTTAAATCAACTACCGAGGATGAAAATAAACATTTTCACAATGTCTTGCATCTTCAAATTTGTATCCTGCATCTTCAAATTTTTTATTTCTTTGTACACCGTATAGCTTTAAAGTCTATTTGAATTTAATTATGATAAATTGAAGACGTAAGATAGAAAATGAGATCACAAAAAATTAATCAAAAGTGATTGTTCTTCTAATATAAAGGCAATGTCATCTCTGTATGAATAATATAATTATCAAAAATAAATATATCAGTCCATAATCTATTTTTTACATGACATTTATTAATTCAAAATGATAATCTTATAAAAAATAGTTCTAGTCGATTTCTATTCTCAAGATAGATGACAAGATCATCAAATGTATTCATATGATGTTGGAACTTTTAAGTTGAAATTCATAAAGTTCAAGAAATCATGCAACTTGTTTAACAATTTTTTGTGATGAAATCTTTATCCAAAAGTTTCAAACAGTAGATTATGTTTTTCAAACTCATACACTTTCTTCATAAGAAAAGATTATACATCCAATATAATAATACTCCCAGCTTGCAACTAAAGTTTGTGTCTAAATGTCAAGCTTAATCTTTTTCTCCACAAGCAAATAGTTATCATGTCCATTTTATATGAATATGTCATATCCTGCTTTGCCAAACTTAGAGATAGCCATCTAGTTTGCTGAACACTTCTAGTCTTGTGCGGATGTAAGTAAATAATCTGTTTTTTCACTCATTTATTTCTTTTTAGACTATTGTACATCTAGTCAAGAGTGCAAAATCTCTTTCTCTCAAACACACTCCACTGTTCCTCTTTTTGCAATGACACGTCTTCGTCTTCTCATCTATTCTCCGCGTCTTTCCGTATTGCTTGGTATATGTTTTTGCTGATCTCCTCGTCATTCTTTGTTCTTCTCCAATGATTGTTAGCACTTTTGTTCAATGTAGAAAGTAATTCCTTATTCATTTCTTGTTTAAAATAAAAAAAATTTGTGTGAATCTATTTTAAGAGTTCAGGCAAAATAACAATAACCTCAAAAAATTTGAAACTCTCTATCGGTGTTGTTTTTCAACAAGCTCCAACATATCTACAAGTACATCACTTTGCACAATTTTAACAACTATTACATATGAAACAAAAACAAGAGAATCACACAATCGTTCTGATACTATTTGTTAGGTATAAATTAATCAAAATGTTCAAAATAACATCAAAAACACACATAACATTTGATACAACAAGAAATATGATTTGTCTTTGGCTATTCCATGGATACACATCAATCTAGCAAAACAAAATACTGATGCAAAGCTCAGAAAACTAGATTTTTTTGCCCTTGGTAGTGAAACTTTAACCAAATTCTAAGTCGAATCTTATGGAAAACCAATTGACAATAAACTAGAATTAACCCTAACAAAATCTACTCAATTTTATGAATTTTTAATTTTATACTTATAAAAATTTACAACGTTTTCACTTGTTAAAATAACTCATGAGTTTCAGTCTAATCAAAACATTGCATATGTTGTCACTAAACTATAATCAATCAGATTTTATCAAAATATACTTTCATGCTCCAAAAATGTCTACATTTTTTGATCACATATTACAATTTGATTACAAACACCTTTTTATTATATGCAACACATTCATAATAACACTATCATTTTTTTTGAAATAGCTAATTTTAACATTTATTTTTCTTAATTCATCCTGGCTACATGATTTTTTCTCATTTTTGAAATCTTTATCATGAATATACATAGTTCAAAATCTATATTTTGAATACTAAATGAATTTTTTTTAAATGAAAAGCTTATTGTATACTTTCATCAGATTTGACATAACATAAATGCTGAATATATTTTAAATTGATTCAAGTTTGAAATTATAATTATGATAATCATTAAAATTTCAATCAATTATATTTTAAATGAGAATATTTTATTTATTGAGATAATTGCAAGGGTTGATAATAATTATTTACTTTTTTACTACTAATTTTCTATGATATGCTTATTTTTTAAAAAATAAATACTTAGAATGATATAATTTAGTTAGAATGATATAATTTAGCTAAGAATAATTCAACTATACTCTTATGCAAGCTTAATTATTTATCGTAAGTAATTCTAATTAATAAAAAAACATTCAATATTCTACCTAAAGCATTAAACAAAACATGTCCAACAAAATCTTTACTAAGATGAAACTACAAAAGCCAAAGTACAATGTTCATCAGCATTAATGTGTAATCATATTTTGTACATTGTGAAATATGTTTTATAAAGTTCAAGAGATTTATATGTAATAGAGTCATGAAGGAATATATATTTATATTTAACATGAATGTTAGTTTTAATATACTCAGCAATTATTAAAAATTTGTTTAACGTTGAAACTGTTTTCACTTATCATGTTGTCATTATAAAAATCAACACATTTTTTATCCATGTTTGTCTTTTCACATACTTCAGTCAGATATTTAATCACCTTTGTTAACTTAATTCAAAAATATAATCTTGTTTTCACAATTCACTGAATTTTTCTAAATTTCAGTGGATTTTTTATTTTATTTTATTTCGTAAAACGGCCATCTCATTAGTTTTAGACTAATGAGATGTAGTATAATTGTGATCTCTGTATGCATATATAATCTTTGTGTGTAGTGCATAAATTAATCCTAAAATAAAATACTCAAAATATCTCATGACCGTGAGAATCAATACAAGTATGATAAATCTCATCAAAATTTTGTCCGTTGAATCACATAGATATATTTATATATATAGAGATTGAATAATCTTCTTCATACAATATTGATAACAAATTTTATAGTGGAATGTTTTAGACCAGGATCTAAAGACTTGTTTTCTAGAATTCAAAGATTTATGAATATTAAAAAGACTATTGACGCAAGCTGATGTAGTAGAAAAAATTGTTGCACCAAATATGCACATGCAGGAAATATATCAATGACATGAAATAATATTATAGGTGGAATCGTTTGTTTGAAATATGTTCGGAGAAAATATGACAAACAATTAAAGAATAATTGCACCTGGATAGCTTTTTAAAAGATATGTTTAATGTTTATATTTTAGAAAAAAAAGCTATGTTGGTGTATGTCATCCACAAAAGGTTAGCAATTTGAATTAGGAGATATATTGACTAATGGTAAAAGGAAAAACTCATCTTGAAAGCAACGAACATTAAAATCTACATGTGCTAGAATGCAATATTGTTTCCGAAGTAGCATACATCAATGAACATAGACAAGAAATGTACGCTGAACTGCCAAATTTCTTCAAGTATGCTTCTGAAGATTAATCACTAGCGTACCTCTTGAAGTGAATGTGTGACTCGAGGTTATTATAAGGGCACCAGTGGAGTGGAAAATTGTGCTCTCAAGCCGATCTTGTAGATAAACTGATCTTCTTTTCTGCTTGACGGAGTGCTATACCCAAGCTTTTGACTGGATAACTGAATCCCTGACTCAGGCTTTTAACTGGGACTCTAAGTCCCTGGCTAATCTGCTGGGGGGATTGGCGAATAGCATCACCCAACGTTCCACCCAGTGTTCTAACGGGGGCAGTAAATTCCTCTTCGATCACTTTGTCGATTCTCTTCTGCATGCTGTCTAAGTTTTGCTGAACTCGACTCATTCGGTCTTGCACCGCTTCCTCCGCTTGTGTGCCATACTGGTAATACAATTCCTTGATTGTGAAGAGGAGGACTGCACACGATGCACCTGTAGGAGACAAGATCGCGTCAGATCGTGCTCATATCGACCACAAAACATCGCCGCAGTTGCAGTCGAAGTGCAGAATGCCAGAAGAATACCAGCCAGTCCGATGCCGTGAGCCCTTTCCGAAGAGAACGCCAGCATAGCAATGCACGACCCTATGGGCAGTATGATGGCGGCTGCAAAGTCTCACTCGAATGGAATTAGAATTTATTTGAAATCTGAAGTCAATAAACCGCCTCCAGGCAAATAAGGATCAACTGCCTCTTATACGCTGGAAGTCTTCTAAAGGAGTCATAGCAACGACGTCAAAGATTGTAGTAATCTTGTAACCCTCTCTTAAAACGAAAGCTAGACCTCACGGAAATAAACTGACAAAGACATTTGGGTAAATGGATAACACACCTCCCAGAGCATAATCACTGAGAGGAATCCGATACGGCCGAAAAGCATCTGGTTCTGTGAACCTAAGTTGAACCAAAGCACTGAACTTCAGTACTGTCGAGAAGGCGTAGAATAGCATATCTGCCTAACACCAGAGACTCAATGTCAGGCTCCACCGTGCTTCAACATGTTTCACTCGATTTTGAGAGAATTTGACGAAAGACCTGACATTCCTTAAACATGAAAACTCCTTGGATCCAAGCAGTTTCCAGGTCAGAACACTTGATCACATGAGCCGTGTCTCAAGGTAGTTATCAACAGCTTAATCCTATTGATTCCTGTGATACACACATACTTACAAGACTTTGATCTGTCACAGTCCTCTGCTAAGGCTCAACGTTCATAGGACGATGGCACCGTCAATATACCTCTTCCTCTCATGTTTATCAAGGACAAGAAAAATTGCGAATCCGACAATGCTTTTAGTTGGTGTAGCACACTGGTTGATCAATTCAGATTTAATGCTGATATTTTTGTGGAATTTCATTCACATGATACATAATTCCTAAAGGGTGATCCATTTTCTCCTCATGTTTATGTGACCACTCATTATTACGGGTGATATTGGGTACCTCGGCAAGAGAGTAGAAATTGAACCCTGTCATCAAAAGCGTACAAAAAGACGTTGCAAGGATAGCTGCCCATGGAGAAGCATAAACTGAGTGTAGCTTGGAAAACACCTGGGGTACCTGATGGGATTGCAAGAAATATCGACACATCACTTCTCGGAGCTGAAGAGTGATAAGCAGGAGAATATGACAACACATACGCTTCTTTCTAAGTTTGTTCAGATTTATCTTCAAAATGATGACAACAAGCGTGCTTAGGTTACAATACATACAACCTCACATCTCGCTTCCTTATTGCAAATGCGATGATTCTAGACTACTTGATCAGCTATTTTAAAGTAACGAATCCAAGAAACAGTTGATACATGTAGTTCTGTCACGGTTACTTCGGATAAATTGACCCGATTGTGATCCTAAGCCCACTATTTCCAGAACTCTTGAGAGTTATGATTTGCTCAATGATAATGGATTGATACTTGAATCAATAACTCTCGTAAAATATACGGATTAAGATAATTAGATTAAAAGATAATTAGCTCTAATTTGATAATAACAGTTCGATTGCTACGAACAAATGACGGAGAGATTAATACTTTTCTATTTTGGGAGACTTGTTCGTGCGTGCAAAGCAACGCTCGTTGCTTAGGTCTGTCCGTTCATGCAAGCGGACGATGCGAAGGAAAAAAAATATAATCACTTGCGTTTGCTGCGAACATTGATCACTAAAACAATGAGAACAAGGCGAACTACGTCGAATAGGATCCAAGGACTTCATAGCTCTTATAGTTGTCACCTGCTCAACGAGGGCCATGCCATAGACGATTCTGGAATTCGTACAAAGACGGGTAAGGAGGAGTCCGAGCGCACTTGAAGCTGCAGAAAATCCCATCCAGCCCTGCATCATGAAATAGCACCGCACTTCCGACACAAAAGTCAGTGCTCCTTACTCTCAGTTGGGCACTTCAAGCATCCGGGGTAGCAGTCAAATATGCACACCTTTAATTCCTGGTACGAACGATGTTGAGTTTATCACAAGGAGAGGTCTTCTGCCAGATACTGTGTGGAAGATCAGCCACGGACCAGGAACTTCTTAAGGAGTGGTTCACCGGAGTCTTACGCGTTGCGTGTCCTGATGTTATTCTATGCTGGGCTTAGCCTCTACAGAGCCTTGCCTTGGGATGCTTTCAGCGGTGTCTGCGCAAAAGAGCTGTGCTTCTTTTATCAGAGAGCAGCTTTCTATTACAGGGAGTAACAATTTCTCTTGGAAGAGCAAAATATTGTACTGTTTAAAATTCACGCATCAACCTCTCGGCAATAACGACAGTTATACATGGATTTCGAAGACTTTGGACTGCCTTAGTACAGCGTGGGCTGTTCTCAGTTTGATCTGGTCTTTTGCAGCTAAAGCTTCATGAAGTACCGTAAGACAACCTTGAGAATGTCACCGCCAATAAGTTTCGCAACGATTATATATGTTCCTTCCTTCCACAATCTGTAGTCTGGGAGTACACTCACTCCGATAATCGTTGGTAGGGCATATACCCCAACCATCAACATCACACTTATTGACAAGGCACGAGGAAAGGAGTGACCAGGATTTCGCACTTCAGCTGCACATGTGCCAGCTGCATCAAATCTGCACACGTGAGTGTAAAATTGCCAAAGTTCATCTCAGTGACAAAAGCATCAGAATTCCAATTAGATCAGAGGTCCAAAGCAAAGCTCCTGGTAGTCTCTTGTAGGTGTTACCAAATCGAGGGTGCAATCATGTACTTCTCATTCGAACATCAAAGAAATTATCTTCAAAGGTATAGTGGCGCAAAGTACAAACCCAGAGGTATTCCATAACAGCAACGTCAAAAATTTTCCCCAATCGATGACTGTTGGCAGAGAGGGAGAAGGAGCCAAGGCCGTATCAGGGCCATCAAGACCCATCCAGTCAAAATTGAGATGTGTTAACCCGATGAGACACATGGTTATGAATGGGGCCAGTACCAGAATTCCGAGGATGACAGAGACAACACCTGGGAGATCGACACTGCAAGCACGCTCAGATATCATAGTATTGCAGTTTAACACAACGTTACAGGAGCTCAACACAAGAACAAATGCGTGATGTCCAAGAAGAACAAAAGACACGAAAGCTCCAGCAGATTTCACGACATAAGGGTCTTAAGTATCATGACCAAAGAAGCAGATAAATCAAGCACTGACCTACAATATTGATACCAAGAATGTTGATAACGGTGACAATGAACACAAGGAATATCTTGATAAACACACTCCAGCCATAGGAGATGATATCCTTCCCCTCATACAGAAGAGCTGACAGGTATTCCACAAACAGGACAGGGTACATAGCATTGTCCAAAATACTGCATGCGAAAGCAAAGCAACTGTTGACAAATGACCAGAATGGGCCAAATGCTCTGTACACCCACAGAACATGGCCTCCGCTCTCCGGAATCATACACGAGAGCTCTGCTGTCATGAATGCAAGAGGGGCAGCCCACAGTACAGGGACTAAAAGCAGTCCTACCAGCATCAGCCCCGGCCCCCCAGCTCCCACAGTAGGCTCAAATCCATAAGGTCCCTGCGTCAAGCCCACAAATAACCACTGATAATCTGCAAGTCTTACGCAGTTCAACCTCTTTAAATATTCCATACTTCCGAAGAACCTAAAAGTTCTTCGGAAACTCCTTTGACCAAGAAACCCGACAAAGTGTGATCCTGATATTATGAATACAGAGCAAATCGGTTGAAGTCACTCATGCGATGCCATCGTAAATTCGGATATGACATATCCATCCACTTGTGCAATTAACTGAACAAGGTCTGGGAAGCATTACCTTGTACCCAAACCTTATGACTTCGACTGGCCACTTTGAAAATAAAAAACTCCAAGAACGAAAGAAATTCTCAAAAGAGACGTCACTATGAGCTAGAACAAGCTCATAGTGACGTACATCTTTTGACATTGTGACAAAAAAAAAGAGAAACATCTGGATAGTGATTCCGGATCATTTCTGGTTTTTTCGGTCCCAATGTCAGAAAACGTTTATGCTCTTGCGTTGCCCAAATCGGCGGCCGTAAAGTGAGAGGACTGGGAATGAGGTGAACAGGAGCCGTGGTGAAAATCGGAGTTCTCACCCCGGAAACGGCGAAGAAGGTGATACTGATGAGTTGTAGGGTACTGAGCATGTGCACTTGATGCTGTGATTGAATAGGGGCACTCCGCTTCCACGGTGTGGATGAACTCTTGCCAGGTCCTTGTTTCAAACGAGGATGCTGTCTCCTTCCAGAGCTACGATGGAACGTAGTCGGAAGATCGATTTCTCTCTGAGCGGCATCGGAGCTCTCGGGAGGAGGCGTGGAACTTTCGGCACTCTCGTGCGGTCTCGTCATCGCCAAGAACACAGAGACTTTGTTCTTCACTCTGGACACGAGCTCCTCCTTGGAACCTGATGTCGAAGGGAGCTGTTTCTCCTCCCGCTCGGCATCGACATCCGCCTCTCGAGCACCGGAATCGATGCCGAAGAAGGTCGAAATTCGCTTACCCATGGCCATTCGCGGTGGTGCGGCAGCGACGTCTTCTTCGCCGGCAACGGGAGCGTCCGCGACCTCGAGGCTGACATCCGACAGAGCATCGTGATACAGCTCAGGATCCCAACTGGCGCTGGTGTAGGGCGCCGTTGACTCGTTGCTCAACCCCATAACCTGCGACAACCTTCTCGTAATCTGCATTTTGACAGACAGAACGATCGTCTCGTGCAACCGGGCCCGCGATTTGGAGGACAGGCGGCGCGTACGACCAAAATCGCCTGATCGTGTCAGAGTCGGTGGTAGAAATAGGCAGCCAGCGACGACAATTCCTCGTTCGTGGAATTTACGGCATCCGCGCTGCGCTTCCCATCCTCGGGATTCTCGGCGCGAAAGGGCGTGGGCGATGGACGGGCTCGGGCTCGGGAATCGGGACTCGAATCCTCTCCCCAGCAGTCAAACGATTAAAGCACCGAGGGGCCGCTCCCAGCTCTCTTCCAAGCATGTAAACTATTCTGCTTTCATGTAAAATGCAGTCTTCGAGATAATAGAAGATTCGCTTGTAGAAGGGCCGTATTATAGACGGCTCCTCCCTCTCTTGACTTTGAGATATTATTTCATTTTTTGTTCTTTATTGCAACATTGATTCCTATATTTCGTATCTATTTTAACTTGAACAAAATTTTATTTATCATTTCATGGTCTCAAAAAATCAAGAGTATGCTATTTTATTTATCATATATTTTGATAGAATTATATAATAAAAATATTGATGTAGTTGTAATCTAAAATTTGAAATTAATTGACTTGAACTAGATTCTACAATCTAATATTTTAATTAATTTTTTTGAAAAATGAACTATACATCTCACTACAATCAAATGAATCCATTATACTTCAACTAACTATGATCCCACAACAACTATCTTTTGAGCCATGTCATATGTGAAATAAACACTATTTGGAAGTTACTGTGATCATAACCTTATCACCTATCACTTTGAAGACTTTTGATGCTATGAGACAAACTTATAGTGAAACCTGCACACACTCTCTCTTACTCTAATTCTACAAGAGCATGATATTTTGGTGATGCACAAAACTGGAGTGATAAACCCTCATGCGTGTGGATGTAATCAATACAAATCCATGTAAAAGTCAATTTGAGACATCTAAAACTTAATCACATGATAATACAAATGAGATCATTGAACTGCGTTTGGTCTATTGACTATGTTGAGACGGTAAGAGCTATGTAACGTTTGTATTGAATCAAAGATTGAATAGTCTATCTTTGAAAGTTAAAAGTGAAGACGGTTTGATGGTATATTGAGACATTCATGATAATCGGATGGTGTTGGATTATTTTGATGCTGATGTTAGAGTGGACATTTTAATTCCAAGAAGTGAGGTGGAGGTTTACAAAAAATTCAACGGTTTAGACAAAAAGAAATACAACTTCTAAGAATATTAGATGATGATAGTAACTACTGTATAATTCTCATCTTACATAGACAAGTTGGTGAAACTTGCTCATGAGAAGTTATCAAAACTTGGTGTGAAGCAATCTCGCGGTTTGCTACATAGCATAGGTCAACATTTTACTTCAAATATGCATCCAGACCAGAACCATCAAGATATAATTATGTGTGGCAATGATCCGGTTTTCAAATGTCATAAACATTATTCTACTCTTTTATTACAAATTTAAATTCAAACATTAATATTATATGCACACTTGGATAATTTTATTGTTTGGTTAAAATTTGATCAAAAGTGTATAAATTTGTATAGAATAGAGTTTGTGACACTTGAAAATTGGATCATTGTTCAACATAATCATTTCTTGCGTTCAGATATAATTTTAATACTTGATCTTCAATTTAGAACTTTCTTGTTAGAGATTAAGTGTACTTGCAATAAAATGTATCAATCACATTGAATTTTTATCTTCCGTCATACAATTGATGATTACTTTAGATTTTACTTTACGAAATATTGATATTGGAAGTTCAATGATGACGTTGATTTGGGAGATCATGTTGAATTATGTCGTGTTGGCTTTCATAACTTCACGTGTTACAATGATGAAACATACTTGAGAAGTACGGTGTATGAACTAGCGGATGAAACAAGTAGTATACTGATTTGTGATTCTTATTGTGACAAAGTTGACACATCATTGAGGTTTGAATTTTTGGGAGGGAAGTGCCGAATCTTGCAGGGACTACAATTTTAGATTGGAGTTTGAACGAGGCTGAAAATTTTGTGAGAACGTGAGGTTAGGCACGATTTTGTACCCTGCAATTTTTTTAGGTTTAATGGAGGTCTAAATTTGAGTTGCAAGCTTCGAGTTTCAAAATTTGTAGGGAAAAGAATCAGTTCTTGCCAGTGTTGTTTCCTCGAGCTCGGATGTGCACTCAACCTGAAACTTTGTGATAGCTTGAACTTGAGCATGACGCACAAGCTTGCAAAATCTCATACCGAACGTAATTTTGAGGACGAAGTTGAAACATCATTAAGGTTTGAATTTTTGAAAAAAGAGGTTTGTAACTTCGGGCTGAAGTTTGAATGGGTCTTGAAATTTTGTATGAGCGTGAGGTTAGGTTGGACGCTAAAGCGTGCAAATTTGCAGGTTCAAAAAAATTCTAGAGAAAGAGTGCATCAAATTTTGAGTTTTGAGCTTTGAGTTTCAAGATTTGAGCGGAAGAGAGTCGACTCTTACATGAGCTGTTTTTTCAAGTTCAAGTGTGCACTGGATATGAAATTTTGTGGGAGCTTGGACTTGGGCAGGACGCATGAGCTTGCAAAATCTCACACCAAACGCAATTCCAAGGACAAAATTAAGACATCATTGAGATTTGAGGTTTTGAGAAGGGAGTGTTGAACCTTGCAGGGGCCGTAATTTCAGGCTGGAATGTGAACATGGCTTGAAATTTTGTGAAAGCATGAGGTAAGGCAAGATATTGTAGCCTGCAATTTTTAGTTTCAATGGAGTTTCAAAGAGAGAGTGCATTAAAATTTGATTTTTGAGCTTTGTGTTTCAAGATTTGAAGTGAAGAAAATTAATTCTTACGGGAGCTGTTTCTCAAGCTCGGGTGTCAACTGGACTTGAAACTTTGTGAGAGCTTGAACTTGAGCACGGTGCACAAGCTTGCAAAATCTCAGATCAAACACAATTTTGAGTACGAAGTTTAAATAATTTTGAGACTAGAGTTTTTTGAGAAGCATTCACATGATGATTTTTCAAGAAAATATGATGCTAAATCTTCTACAAACAATTTTGGAAGAATTGAAAGTACTCTGTGAAAAAATCAAGGTATAGATTCACAGTTTAAGTGCTGCTCAATATGAAATTCAATAGTTGAAGCTCTTTTAGAAATTTTTTGAAAAAATCATGATTGATATTTTTGGACATCTTGAGAACATTCAAGAGAAAGTTGGTTCTCAAGCTTATATTTCTGCTACTTCTAGATTGCATGAATTGGTTGAAAGTATACATATGAAGATGAAATCTTATGCTCAAGCTACCAAGTCTGTTCATATCTCAATCTATCATGAGCAAGAGATTGAAAAGACAAATCAATTTGTTTTTAGAAAGAATGTGAGTATTTTTGGTCTACTTGAATCTGAGAAGAAAGAAGTGAAGAGTGTTGTCACCAAGTTTTTGGCTGAAACACCTGATGTTCCTTATCCAAATTTAGCTCAAGCTTTTTGCATTCGAAACATATGAACCCAACCTCGTGTCATCATAGTTAAGTTTGTTGATCAAACTCAACGTGATACGTCTTTAGCTAACAAAGCGGTTCTCAAGGAAGGTAGCATTTGGTTAGATTCTCATTTTACACTTCTACAAGTAAAAACAATGAGGAAATAGTTTACAAAAGTCAAGAAGCTGAAGACACAAAATTTTTTGCTTATCTTTGTGATGGACAAGCAATTGTTATTCAACATAAAAGAAAATCATCAATCTAGAATCCAAGAGCTTGAGTATGTTGATGTGGAATATAAGAGTTATTTCTACAACAAAGTATGTGAGTGCTGATCTGATTTGGAAGATGGCGGACATCATCAACATTGTGGAGACATGTGAACATGAGAGCAAAACTATTGAAAAGATGTCGGGGTTTACTTCGATGGGATACATTTGGAATTATAAAAGTCAATGAGCAGGAAGAGGATATAGCAAAATTGCTATTTTCATCAGGTTTCAATTTCTACCTCTGATACATGTAGAAGGTGAGGATTTTTGAAATCAATATCATAGGCTTCGTCTTGGATTGGCCGGAGTATCTTATAGTTATTTGGCTATTTGTTACTTTGCACCATTGTACATGCCTATGTACTTCACACGCACTTGCAATCGTAGTCAACCATTCCACCAACTTATAGAAGATGTTCTCAATTATCAGAGCAAAGGTGAAGTTTTTCTTGTTGGAGATTTCAATGCTCGAATACGTTGTGCACAATTTACACAAGTTGGTGATCACTTGACTTCTTACACCTTTGAAGAACTTGAAGATAATACATGGTCTAGAAACTCTTCTTATACTTCTACAAATCCTTTGACAGAATACTTTCCAACTTTGAACCCACATGTAATTTGAAAGTTCTCAATAGTATTTCTTTTTTTCACAACTCACTTTCCAATATGTGTTTTTCTTCTACCGGTGTCAATAGTATTGATTATCTTCTATCCTCGACCACTAGTATTTCTCTTATTTCAAAACTTGATATTCTAAAACCTCAGCAAGAATCAAATCAAGCACCTCTCTTATTTACTCTTCGGTTGTAAAAAACAAACACTCTCTCTCCATACCATTTTGTTTTAGTTTCTTCCAAGTTTCGTTTAGATCCTAGTAAAAAAGAACATTACATTCTACAGATTTAAAACCTTTTGACACACACTTCATGGAGCCTTGATCTATATACAGCGAGTGGACAACTGATAAAGTTGCTCAAAAACAATGTTTCTAAGTTCTTTATGCGACACAAGGATAGGAGAGCTAGGGATCTTCCTTGCAATGGATGGTTGAACTTTGATTGCAAGCAAGTGAGGATGAGATCAGATGACAAGTCTTTGGATCTTCAAAGTCGGCTTATCTTGACAAGGCTTTACAAAGACTTGGTGAAGTCTAAGAAATGATATCTTTTGAGGAGAAAGCAAGAATCCTTGAGAAAGGAGTTGATAGAGAATCTCTAATCTTTTTGGAGACGGTTAGCAGTTCGGTTTTCTAAACCTATTCTTGATCCCAAGAGTTTGATTGACTTTGGTGAAAAACTTTATTTCTTTCCTAACGTTGCATCAATACCTTGTTGTGAAGTAATATTTGGCTTATTTCTTGAATCACAGATAATGACTCAAGTCCAAAAATTAGCAAATGGTAAATCAAAAAATTGGGATGTTCTCTCTATTGAACTTTTGAAGTGAGTAGAAGATGTTATTGTATCAATACTCACTAAAGCATTAGAGGATGCTGCTATGTATGGTCTTTGCGGAAGATTATTACTATTCATAAGTAAGGAAGTAAGAACTTGGTAACAAACTATCGCACTATCATTGTGGGTAGTGTTTTTTCAAGTTGTTTGGCAAATTGGTGGAGTCAAAGTTGAGTACATGGACTGAATCTCATCAAAAAATAACCCGATTTCAAGCAAGTTTTTGCCCTACATACAACATCATTGATCTTATCTTGGCCTTGCGTGTTTTATGGGAGAAGTCAAAGGGCAATGGAATATATTTGTTTTGCACATTATTTGATTTTAAAAGAGCTTCAGACATTACACCTCGTGAGCTCTTATGGAAAAGGATGCAAACTATTGGAGTACCATCAGATCTTCTAGCAACTGTGACCACATTATATCATTCTGTTCGAGCCAAGATCAACATTTCTCAAACTGAGAAGGTTTTGATTATCGTTGGAGTGCTTCAAGTTTATACTCTCTCTTCTCTTCTATTTGAAGTTTTTATAGAGGATATCGAAGAGTGGTAGGAGACATGTGATAGTGAAGGTGTCAAGCTTGAAAACTTTGTTACCAAAGCTCTCTTGTATGCAGATGATATCTTATTACTAGCACATGATGCAATTAGTTTACAGAAACATTTATACACTTTGGCTAGCTTTTGTATCTCGAATTAGATGGAGTTAAATATGGAGAAGTCTAAAGTCATGATAGTGAACACTAGATCCAAGTTCTACTTCTAGTACAAGGATCTACAACTAGAAGAGATGAAGAGTTATGAATATCTAGGCATTGATTTTTCTAATGATTATAATTGGGCACTTTGCATGCAAAAGAGAGTGGAAGGTGGTTACAAAGCTCTATTATCATTGTTAAATCTGTGTAGAAGGTTTCATCTACTGTCTTGAAATCTTAGGAAATTTTTATTTGGAAGCTTAGTGTTGCCAATAGTATTATATGGAATCCAAGTGTGTGGCTTTGGTTGTAAGAAGACAGGTTGGTTGCGTGTAGAAAGTATGCAGAAGATATTTCTACAAGAAGAATTGTGAGTGAGAAACCAAACTTCATATGATATTCTTCTTGCGGAAACAAGTTGTTATCTTTAGAGTTTGAAGCTTTATACTTGATCATCACTTACATCAAAAGGGTGAGATCTCTTGATGTTTCTCGCCTTCCTCTTCAAGCTTTGAGTGCCACACGTGCCAAAGGATGATTAGCGGATGTGATAACTTGGTCTTTGAGGTGGAATGTGGCGGAACGCGATTGGAACTTGCAACCTATAGCACTACGTGAACTTCTAAAGGAGGCGTTTTTGAACATTATTTGGAGCAAGCGCGGCACCAAGATGCAGTTTTATCAACTTCATGTGAATACTATTCTTGTTTATTGTGAACATGATCACTTACTTGCACGAATCTCTACGTCCTTATGTCATATTATTGCTAGGCATAGAACTGGATCTCATAGGCTTGAAATTGAGTAAATATGTTGGCTTAATATTGATAGGATTGAATGTATTTGTAGATTATATGACGGTGGGTACATTCAGGGTGAAGAGCATGTATTTGTTACTTATTCTAGGTCTGAAGACATAAGGGTTATTCATGATATAGATATGGAGAATTTCTATTGTTTATTGCAGTTAGTTACTTTTGATTTAGATTGTTATATTAGGGATATTATTAGTTAGTACGTTCTAGTTCTATTGGCACTAGCTAAGAATTGACATTTGGGATTTTTTCACTTGTTTGTGGTTTTTACTTGTATTGTGTTTTTCAACCTTTTCACCCTTTGGGTACCTGGCTTGGTCTATAACCATTTATTCAAGAGTATAACATATGTCATATTTCACTTTGAAACCCAATGGACGGTCAAAATGCCTTGATGCCTTTGGTAGAAAGTTGGTTTGACTGTTTCATGACATGGATTGTATACATGCAACCAATGACGAGACATTATAGCATCCAACCTCATGATCTTAGCACCACAAGGTACAAACCATGTTTTGGAGTATACGGCTACATTAAGGTTAACGGAAGAATAACGTAACTGCGAGTTGGAACACAAGTGTTTTGTAGTATAATGATATATGATCAATTTGAAACTTTGATGTGACAATGATGTAAAGCGATGTGTACTCTAAACCCTAGTATTATTTTTTAATTTTCTTTTATCACTATGTTGGATTGTTTGACTCATTTCGTTATCCATGAGCTATTTAATTTTATGCAATCATGTGTATGATATCATATCATAGTTGTTACATATCATTGATATGTAACAACTAAATATATAACTAATAACGTTTTTTATCAGTTTTATGTAATACAACTAAATGGAATAAACTCAAGGGCACTACGGTGAAAAATATTGTATCTACTTGAATTATAAAATGGTGAAATAATGGTATTTGATATACCAAAAAAGATATATAATAATTTAAAAAAAAATGTTAGTCCATGGTAATCGAACAGTAGCGCATGTGACTGTTCGAAAAGAATAATTACCATGCTCTTCTGCAATTACAAATGTAAAATATCTTTACTCTGATCATCATATTTTGCGATTCGGACCTAGCGAAGAATCCTATCAAAAGCCCATCATGCGTATCTCCTGTATGATGTGAGCAGATTCAAGTCAGAAGATAATACAAGCAAATAATAGACTTGCGTCTATCTACCGACACGTGTATATGGCTGACACAAATAATCTTCATAGCACTGTATGAAGTCAACTATTCGTGATAATGAGTGCAGAAAGCATGGATAACAATCTCTCGTAGATTTAATAAACGTTTGTACATATACAGGTTATTTAGGGGAAGCAAGTATTTCTGGTTACAAAACACAATCTGATATACTAGCCTATCCTACTCATGAGTATAAATCTTATAAGGATCGACAATTGTCATCAATTTTGCTTGACGATGTGCAAAAGCAGAAGGACAATTTGTTGAAAATCTTCAAATTTATCTTCAAATCTTCAGTGAGCAATTCCATTCAGATCCAATCAAAGAAATTCGATGGACAGTAGTTAGGAGAGTAGTATCCTACTACGAGATATTGAATGACGAATGTACAGCATGTCTATTTTGTCTCCTCACTAGGTAAGTATTCTAAAGCTATAAGGTTGCTAAAGCAATCAGTTTTATCACGTGGCCAACTCAAGATATCGAAAGGTATCGATGTTCTTTACTAGGAGACAAACGAGCTGCTTGGAGATTGGAGTCAACGCGATTGACCACGAATGTTCTACGATGGATGGTCCTTCGTTCACTCTACCCGGCAGAGTCTACCGTCCAAGTGGGCCTTTTGGGATCGGTCGATATGCTTTTCTTCGGAGAATATCAGAAGGGAATGGTCGGGGCAAAGTACAGTGTGGAAGGTCAACGGGACCGACACTCAATCGCTAGTCTTCATCACTCACCGTGAAAATAACTGGAACACTTAGATACTTTCTGCCATTCTCTCAGATCGGGTTCTTTTCCTTCCAACAATTGGGTCGTGACGCAAGACCTGCACGATATCAGGTACCAAAACTTTGGATAGTAGAATTTGTCGTTCAACTTTTGAGAAATATCTTTTCGGTTTGTTCAAGGAAGCGATGTAGGAAAGACTTCGATGCAGTGACCTACTGTTTCTTCTCGTCAAGCCACAGCAGCAGTCATAGTTGTCGTTATGTTTTCAAGCTTTGTGTGCAGTGTATACCGTGGAGTCAGACAGATGCTCCGATATCAAACTATATCAACGCTCCCTAGTAGCCAAGGAGTAAAATCTTGAGCTGTCCTACATGATCCGAAGTAGTGACATTCATGGCTTTGTTTACAAGATAATGAGTTGTCCAGATATATTTGATCTGCTCGTTGGGTTTGTGAACTCTAGATTGCTGTGAAGTTTGGTCCGACAGAGTAATCTTATATACCGAATATTGTGCGGGCTGATGGTGACCAAAAAAATGCCACAGCTGAACAGACTGGTCACTAATAAGTAGTCTCAACAATTTGTTCTTCCCTTCGGACACATTCTTCCTCAGGCTAGAATCAGAAGCTATATGACTCTTTGTAAAAGATGATGTCGAAGATTGAAAAATTCAGCCCATGTGCAAGATGAACTGGTTAATCCTCAAATACATCCCTAAAATTAGGTGGTGTACTTCCGAAAATTAGCCGTGAGTAAGATGTACTATATTTATTTTTTGAATAGTGCATCTGTGAGAGCTTGATCACAGTAAGTGTAACTGCACTTTATCATCTCTTGCAGAGTGCCTCTGTTGGGGAGCGAAACATCGGTCCATCTCCATACACTCCTTTTCACAAATATGGCCTCGGATAAGGCTCCAGTGTGCGTGAACACACCGTTGGAGTTGAACAATGGACCCGGTTCAGGATCACAGGGGGAAACGGGGTCTAAGGTTATCGATGACCACGATGGCACAGCACAGGAAGAAGGTGCGAAGGGTGATGTGAGTACCATCTCGAAATGGGAGCCTGAGACAACCGATTCGAAGTGGCGGGCAGTTGTCAGAATCGTAACGAGTGTAGCAGCAAAGAATTTGTGGGATGTAGCGAAGGATTATTGTAATCTCGATTGGTGTTCACTGGTGACAGGATGTGTGCTTTTGGAAGGGGAAGCACCAGGGAATAATGTGGGAACAGTTAGGCATTGCACAAACGATAACGTCCCATGGTATTCAGATGAGAGGCTCATAGCCATAGACCACGAGAAATTCACGCTTACCTATGCCATGGTTGACAGCAGTTTGGGGTGGGTCGATTACAGGGCCACCCTCTCGATAGGAAGAGGTGAAGATGGAAAGAGTTTTTTGGAATTGAAGGGCGAGCAAAGTCCTCGTGCCACTGCGACTGGAAAGGAAGCTGTTGAATTCATGACGAGAGGTTACAGTTTGTTTTTGAGCGACCTTGAGTCCAGAGCTCGTACTCTTTAGAGTTGCTTTAGTACTAGGGTTTAGTATTCTAGCTGTAATCATCGCAACTTGCTAATTTTTCATGTGTTCGCCTGTTGGATTGAGTTGTATCATAACAAGAAGCGCATTTCGTATCGTATCAAGACGCTCATTACGATATTACATATCTTAATGAGCTTCTTCGCTGGTTTCACATAGTCTCAGCTTTTTCTTCCACCCCGTGAGATGAAAGTGAAGACACCTACAACTATTGCTTTTCAGATTAGTCTGTCACATGTTCGTTAATTGCTCTAGTAGTTGGACTCATCAAGTCTTGATTTGAGAACTTGGTCGAAGGTGACTTGATTCGTTTGATCCAGCTAGTGAGTTCTCTCGTATATCAACGGCATTGCAAACGGCCTCTGATTGCTCCTGGCTTTGTTCTAGAGACCAGAGAATCTCAGAGTGATTGTAATAGATTTGTAGCTCATATAGTAAATTCTGAGAGGAAAAGAGTGTGATATGTCTGTGACTCACACGATGTTGTGGAAGGGTTTAGGGAACAAGGTACTCGGAACCAGTTCTCGTATGCCTAATATACTCACCTTTGCAAGCTCTTATAATTTGGAATCAAGATCAGTACAGTACTCGATTCTCATCCGAGATTATGGACCCAAAATTCTCCGCGAATGCAAAGAAAAAGAACTTAAACATGCAGTTTCATAAAACATCCGTCATTAAACTCTGGAGATCGGAGATACAGGCCAATAACCTTCCTCGGTCATATTTGCCACCTCCATCCTGAAAACGATTACAGGTTGACCATAATCTCCACTGAACTCCATGCAGCTTCTCAAAGAAATATATATAGTTCCTTCAGAAATATCTTCACCCATGATTGGTAGAATTTTCTTACCATTTATTTTTATGGTTAAATTTTGTACTCATCCTATACTTTCAACTTCCCACTACACCATATTTTCGGGACAGCATATATGTTTCTAACATGTTAAATTATGGAACGACATAGGACGTAATGTTCATGATTGAGATTGTGTAAATGATAAATTCTTGATTGCGCATAAGTTATTGATTCAGACTTGTTTCTTTAATGTATTGCAAATTTTAGTAAGATTTACTTGGATTCTCAATAGATTCTATCTTTTCCGTGTGGTACAAAGATTGCATTGTACACATTGTGTGATGAAAACTTAGATTTGAGAAACTTGGTATTAATCTTTACATTATCATGAGTTAATTTTACATAAACAATGAGATATTGTTTGGATTTGATCCAAAGTTAGTTTTTAATTTACTTTAACTCTTTTTACTATGATTAATTAGACTAAGTACTGATAAATGTTCAAAATCTCTTTACGACGGGGTTTTGAATTAAAGAAATTGTGTATCTCAACTAAGATGAATTATGTATTTCTTGCGATGAATATACTAAAAATGATGATCATTGTGAATATCATTATAAATATCAACTCAAGTTTAATTAACGCTATGAGAGCGATTTAAGATTTATGAATGTCGTCAACTACTCTACTATGCGTCTGCGTGGAGTTTTAGTTTCATGCAAATGAGTTGTAGTTTTAAATTCAAAACAAGTCAGTTTTTTTCTCTTAACAGGTCGAAATCTTTTGTATTTGGAGCATATGTGTACCGTGTCATGTAGTTACGAGTCGGCTCACGAAGTTTAGACACTTACTATATTTAGACGTGAAGTTAGGGTTCGAGTCACGAGGGGTATACAGTCGGGGACGGCTCGAAGAACGTTAGTTCTTCGAGTCGAGCCTGGAAGCGTTGGGAGCGTAGAGTGACTTTCCCCTTTGCGTCGACCTGGATTCTCCGAGTGTGGACTGGGTTGGGCTTGACTCATGTTTGTGATGGTGACGGTTTGTTACCAGTAGGGTAATTGACCGACGAAAATTCCAGTGGGGAATCTCCCGTTTATTTCACTCGAAGAACTATCGTTTGTACATCGAATCTGTTGGTGTGTCGAGAGTTTGTTTCAGTATTTTGTTAAAGAGTTTAGGAGGTTTGTATTGATCGAAGGTTCGTATTTCAGAGGTGCAAGAATTGAGGGGTTGCACAAGGCGGCCAGGGATTGCTTGCGTGAAGGATTTACATGTCGACTGCGCAATTGCGTTGGAGCTCGAACTTGTTGTTGCGGTGAGGAACCTGATCCGAATACAGGTCCGGGAAGCGCATTTTTGACCAGCAGACATCGTACAGGAAAAGAGAACAAGCCTCGAACCGTGGTGGACGTGGGCTGTGGAATCGGAGGAAGTGCCCGTTATTTGGCCAGGAAGTACAATGCGAATGTGAAAGCCATCACCCTGAGTCCAATACAGGCTCAGAGAGGAACTGCAATAACAGCTGATCAAGGCTTGTCAAAATCGGTAAATTTCCAGGTTGCCGACATTCTTAAGCAGCCATTTTCCGATGGCGAGTTCGATTTGGTTTGGTCGATGGAGAGTGGAGAGCACATGCCAGACAAAAGGAAGTTCGTGCAAGAGCTAGCACGGGTTGCTGCACCGGATGGACGCATTCTGATCGTTACCTGGTGTCATCGAGACCTTAAGCCAGCTGAAATGTCTCTTTCTCCCAAAGAATTGGAACTCTTGGACAAGATATGCGATGCATACTACTTACCTGCGTGGTGCTCACCTTCTGACTACGTAAGAATTGCAGAAAGCATTGGTTTGAAGGATGTCAAATCCGCTGACTGGTCGGAATACGTCACTCCTTTTTGGCCCGCTGTTATGGTTTCTGCATTGAGTTTGAAAGGCCTGTTTGGGCTTGCAAAAGCAGGTTGGACCACTATTAAGGGAGCTTTAGCTATGGGGTTAATGGTGCAAGGCTACCAACGAGGGCTCATCAAGTTTGCACTCATCACGGCCCGTAAGGCGTCGTAGTCGGATTTCTCACAATTTTGCACCTGTGCAGCTTGTTAGTTGGCGGGGCCAGTGTCCATTGATGTGCTGTATGATCACTTTGTGTAAATATCATTTGTCGCAATGGAGTTAGGTACACAAACTTGCATTTTGTGGGATGGTTCGAGCATGCTTGTTGTCCGAAGATGAACACAAGACATCTTCTATCAGAGCTTTCTCTCTAGTCTTGAAGAAGCTTGGATAATCTCACTTTGCTGACGTCTGAAATTAGCAGCCTGACAACCTAGCTGTTTCCATTCTTCCACACCTAGCACCTGTGCCGAGCTTATGTCCAGAAACACGCTGCTTCTTTTGACCAAATGGCCGTAGCGACGGGGGTCGCAATTGGGACAAGGACAAAGCAGCAAGGCACGCTCCGATGATCTGGATTACGGGCTCGAGAGGTTAGGGGCTCTTACAACAGAATTTGTTCATCACCACACTGGAGGGGTGCTGGAAGCTTTACCTGGATTGAGGGATTTTGCTGTTATATTGAAACCAACGCAACAGTAGTCCAGTATATTGGAGTTACTCCAAAAATACTTTCACAAACCTAATCAGTATTTGGAAAGGGAGATAGCTATGTTGCAAACCAGTATACATCCGATTTTGGTCAACACCCTCGAGTTCACCAGATCCTTGAGCATATTCAACGATTTCAGGGAGCAGAAGCTTGGAGCGTCAGCAGGTTCAGGCTTAGTTACTGGTCCTGCTTCCGGCTTGTCGAAGAAGGAAGCAAAGGACCCGAGTGACGGAGTAAAGACAAAGTTTGTCTTCGACCTGCTTTGTTATAGCAAGCCAGCAAAGGTGGATGTACCTTGTTTGCTGCATGAGACAAAGAAAACTTCAATTATGCTGGGTACAGCTATGTGAGTAGGCGTTGAGTAATTATAGTCTATTGTTTTTTGGGTTCAGTAATACAACTGATCAATACAGGACTGGAAATGAAGTACATCAGATGTAGCAAAGACAAGTTTTTTTCTAGATTACTGTAGTTAAGAAGGCTTGTTTCTTGTGAATCAAGAAAAAACGAAGTTTGAAAATTGATGGTATTCTGCTACATAGTAAATGCTAAATACTATGTACTAGATTGGTTTGTCACCTTGCAGTGCATGTACTAGCAGCAGCCAAAAACTTAGCATCTTATAATGAGAGTGACTCATTTGTACATCTAAATGATAGTGAATCATTTAGATATTTCATTTTATAATTACACTAAGATGAAAATCACCAGGGATCTCAGAACATCTGAAGTCTAAACTACTTCAGTTTACAGACGTAGTAGTTCAGGCACATTTGATCATATATCAGATTTCTACTATCAGTGATAAGAGTAGTGTGTGGTATTACACAGAGGATGGAATAGTTTGAGCACAAGGTTTGGCAATTATTTCCTGTGCTACGCATTTTAGAGTTGACTTTATATAGGTCTTAAAACTCTCTTCAGTTATCGTATCATTTTACTGTGGTAATTATACATCAGTATAATTTACAGTAAAAAAGTTACTGGTGATCCTGTAACACTTTGTGATAGTTCCTAGTTAAACTATTTTTAGTTTTCAATTTAGTGATCTAGTTTACAGATACTCTGTAAACAATCCTTGTACCCAGTGGAGTTTTGACTTGTGAAGAGAAAATGCCGCTTGATGACAAAGTGGGAGACAGTTTACCAGAGATTCAGCCAGTGGAGGTCGTCAGCCGCGAGGAACGTGAGCAGGAAGTGACAGTGCAGCCTCAAGTAGAAGAGAATCTGGTAAACACTGTTGTGGTAGAAGAAAAAGATTCCGGGTTAGATTGGGACGAGGCACTAGCCGTGGAAAAACTTCTAGAGGAATCCGGCCTAGAGTACAGGGTATGTGAGAATGAGTTACTAGACCTTCCGCAGGATATTGCTGACCATTTGAGAGATGTTCAGTATGTTCAAGACTGTCTTTCAGAAGAAATTCTTGTACTAGAGAAATTTCTTGATAGTCTCCCAAAGGATTGATAGAAAATACTTGTAGCGTTGAGACAGAAGGTACTGAAGGGATCGGGAGTTTGCACCCGGTCTCACTACCTGTAAACGTGATGTTTTGAAAGCATTGTAAATATATATATGACGTAGTCAATATATTGAGCTTTCAGTGTGTAGTGTGTTTGTTGAGGGGCAGTGTGAACCCTGTGTGAAAAAAAAAAAAAGAAAAAGAAAAAGAAGAAGAAGTTTTCAAACAATTTTTGTTTGCAATTTGGTGGAAGGGGGCATCGTAGGCACTGGAGGCCCACGTAGATGGAGGGCAATGGAGATCGAATCGGGATCGTGAAGCGATGCGATGTCCCGTGTGTGTTGTCTTGTTTTGTGCTGTGTTTCCTTTAGACTGGAGAGTCGTTGCTAGCTGGTTGCTTGTGTTTGGATCCTCTCCAGTCTTGCTTCCTAGTGCGCGCCCGTGTAGGGGTGACGCTGATTTCTGGAGTAGTTGTACTCTTGTGTGCTGGCGATAGGGGGCTGGACTTGATCACCGGCCGGTCTATCTATGTTTCTCTTACGGTGAGACTGGAGTGATGA